GAACCACGGTCGACTACTTGGGAGTCCAGTGACATAGCCATTACGCTAACTGCTGGTCCCCACCAAGATCACATATTGTGATTGGTTGATATATCTTTTTTTTTTTTTTTTTTTTTTTTAGGTTTTTGACCGAGGGTATGTGCACTTGCTAGAAAGAGGCAGAGATAGACAGAAAGTGAGAAATCATCCTCCAAGGGGATGGCCATTCCGCAATCCCTTCTCTTCCTCCTGGGATTTCGAGCATGCACAAATATGCACCTAGCATGATTTTCAAGCTGCTGGGTCCAGGGTTTGAACCATGGTTGGCCATGTGGGAGTCCAGCACCTTAACCACCATACCTGCTGGCCCCAGGTTGATATATATTTTATGTTCCTTCCCCCCCCCCTAGTTTTTGTCATTGGGCATGTGTCCCTCCAGGAGTGAGAGAGAGGGAAAGTGAGAAATCATCCCCAAAGGGGATGGTGCACCACAATCCCTTCTCCTCCATTTTCCTCTTGGGATTTTGGGCACCCACACATATGCACCTGTTTTTCAAGCCACCAGACTTAGATAACGAGCGGTCAGCCATATGGTAATCCAGTGCCTTAACCACCACACCATCTGCTGGTCCCTTATGCTCCTTTTGAACTTAACAAGTTCTCTCTGTTTCTTGCAATTTATTTTGTGAAGAGACCAGGTCTTTTGTCTTGAAGAGTTTCCATTCTCCGTTTTTTATTTCTGATTATCATTTGATATGTTTCAGTTGCTTCTGTATTTCATATGAATTGGTAGTTAGAGATGTAGGCTTGATCAGAAGGGGGTCTACGTGGTTTTTTTTTTTTTTGGCAAGACAACATCATGGGTGGTGGTGTTTTCTTCCATCAGGAGTCAGATAATGTCTTTCTTTTTTTGTGATGATAACAGTTATTGATGAGCTGTGCTTAGCATCATTAATTTATTATGGGTTCCTTCATTATTTATCAGTGGGAATACTGCTATAAAGAGAAGCTTCTCTTCATCTACTATTTGGTTATTCTAAAGTATATATTGAGCTGGAAGGAAAAAAGCTTACCTCTATTTCTTCTCTTTCAAAATAATGGGTCAATTTTATTAGTATCATCCAACGGTGATCAATTGGATTGCTCAATACAGTTTTAATGAGGTTTAATAGACCTAAACTTCACATACTTAAAACTCACTTCATGAGTTTGAGCAAATACAGTCACTTGTGAAACCATCACTACGATCCTGAAAATGAACATATTACTTATGACTTTAATTTAAAATGTATTAGTATAAACTGAGACATTTAAACATGTTCACATTTTCAATCATTTCCATTTTTTTAATGATAGAAAGTACATGTGTGCATGTGTGTGTGTGTACGTGAGAAAGAAAGAAAGAAAGGATGCGTGACAGGGTCTTGTCATGCTGTGGTCCTTTTCCCCAGCCCTCCAGCCCCTCAGGATCCGGGACTTCACAGGCACCCAGCATGTTTCCAAGCCAACCAGGGGATCATCTGAACCCTACCTACAGTTAGCCACATGGCCCCCGGCCCTGTGGGACACTTGGTTACTGCTATGTTGACCACAGTGGGCCTGAGTAATTGTCCCTTTTGAAACTCAAGTTGTCCTACTTTCAATGGGAATTTATTCAGGTTATCCTGTGTTTTGTTTCATTTTTCTATTTATTTCATTCTTCTGTTAGAGAGACAGGAAGGAGCGCTCACACAGTGTCTTCACATGTGTTTCTCCACTAGCCTCAGCCAGCCAGACCCCAAGCTCACACACATGTCCAGTATGTGCAGGGAGCTTTGGGGACACGTACCTGGGTCTCAGGTGGCTTCGGCATCACTGAGCACTGCTTCCTTGCTGTGCCATCACAGCTGGCCCATCCTGTGGCCCTTCTGAAATGATACCTCTAGTCTTTGCTAATTTCTTTGCTATGTTCTTATGACAGAGTGCTCTAGACCTGACATTGGAATTTTCTCAAAGGAGCCCTTGGTTCAGTGGGAGACAGGGCACTCATATATCATAGGATAATTAAGCAGAGGAGCGAAAGCCAATGATTTTTGGTGTGGGTTCATGTAGTTAGAATGCAATAGCTACTTTTATTGGATCAAATTAATCTTTGGGGCAATCTAAGGTTCAAGGAGGAAGGTTAGAGACATTATTGTCCCATTTCACAGTTGGGGAAATAGATGAAATGATCGTGCCTTGTCTATTATTTTGTAGAAAGGAGGGGGCAAGTATGAACAGAATCTGGCCTTTTGGGTAACGTCTCTTCACAATCTAAATGATGTATAGTGATTTAATGTATGGATAATAATAAAAAATATATAAAGAAAGAAAGAAAGAAAGCAAAAAAAAAAAAAAATAAAAAGAAAAGAAAAAAGAAAACAGGGCGGGTTCTGTGGCTCGATGTTTAGGGAAACGGATTCCACACGGATTCCACAAGGTGGACCTCAGGTCAGATCTTGGCCTGACCACTTGAGAAGCATGCCAGGCATGTGTGTGTGCATGCCTCAAGTTTTGATGGGAGGCAGACATGAGAAAAAAGGATTGTGATGGACCCACACTCTGCAGTGGGGGCTGTCTGTCTGTCTGTCTGTCGCTGGCAGCATGGGCACTCTCTGGCAATAAAAACAAAAGAAAGCAGGGAACCAGCAGTTAGTGTAATGGCTATGTCGCTGGACTCCCACGTAGTCGACCGTGGTTTGCGTCCCGGATCCGGTGGCTTAAAACTCACGCTGGGCGCATGTGCGTGCATGCCCAAGATCCCGAGAGGAGAATGGAGGAGAAGGGATTGCGGCTTTGCTATACCCCCCTGGGGGGATTTCTCGCCTTTTGTCTCTATGTCTCTCTCTGTTTGGCAAGCACATGCGCCCTATAGCGAAAACCTCTCCAAAACAAAACAAAAACAAAAACAAAACAAAACAGAAAAACAAAAGAAAGCAATGAAAACAGGCATTCTCATCTTGCTTTAGAGGCATACTGGTTTTAACAGCTTCAATTGTTTTTTTGTTTTTTTGTTTGTTTGTTTTTAAGAGGGAATAGGAAGCTTCTAGCAATAAAAGGAAACAAAAACCAAAGCTTTCTTTGCTTTCTTTCTCTCTTTCTTCCTTTGTTTTTGTTTTAGATTTTCAAGGCTTTTGGAAGGAGCTGGAAAGATAAGAGGAGCAAGACGAAAAGTTAAGAGTCATAGAATCAGGGGACTGGAGAGCTCTCTAGGCCTCTCAGCCCCACCTCCTCCATCCAAACGGCTCTGCACTTAGGCTACATCCAAATACATGGGCAGCTCTCCATTTAGAAAGACGCAGTGAAGTGTAGGCCACAGCGAGCTAAGTCAATTTCGAGTTGCAAAAACAGATCCCCAAATAGCAGCTTTAAGTTTGTGAAAATGAACTCCAGGCTAAGTGCTTAGCGAGAAAGACGCGACCATGAATCAACAGTGATACAGCCCAGGGACCGTCGTCTCAGGTAGGAAAAGGGCCTGCACGAACCACGCATCACGCTCTGGCTTTGCTTTCGCTCTGGTCACTGCAGGGGCAGTTGTCGGGAAGCCTACATAGGCGCCAACTAGGAAATGAATGATTCCAGGGCCAGCCTGCGGCCTAGCAGTTAAGGCAATCAGATCCCACATGACTGACGACATAGTTTGAGTCTTGGCCTTGGTGGCTTTCAAAGAACCACACCGGGTGCATGTGCGTGTGTGCCCCAAATCCCAAAAGGATGGAGAAGTGGAGGAGAAGTGACGGGGTATGCAGCCACACCTCCCTGTGGGGTAATTTTTCCTCCTCCTCTCTCTCTGACTCTGGTAAGCACACATGCCTTTTGGCCAAAAAAAATTAAAAAATAAAAAAAATCCATGAATTAGCTTAACAGACTCTGAGTCTTCAGTGTAGGCTACAAAGGAAGGTTATGGATTTATCATCCCTAGAGCTCTTCAAAGCTGTATGGTCTTAGAGGTTTCCAAATTCAGGCACTGAATGCAGGAGCCAGAAGCTCCTTATAATTCACCCAGGATAGCATTTCCCAAACTGATTCCAAAGAACACCTAGCGTGCCAGAGATAACAGCGATCCCCGGGTAGATGAGGGAAAGCAAGACCATATCGCTGCTCAAAGATTCCCGAAACATCTTTATTTTAAAGGTCCTCCAAAGTTCTGAAGAAAGTAACTGTGCTGATCTTGGTTGAAATCAGCTTCTCAAATGTTTTTCACTCCACTTTTTTGCCCCACCTCTAGTAGTTTGTAGATACGAACGTATGAACAATAATCTCAGGGGTACTAATATAGCCCTTTCCTTTGACAAGTGAGAAAATCCAGGCCCAGGGAGGTGAGCTCATTTATTTTGGAATCACAGCCCAATTTCTTGAGAGGCAAGGTAAAATAAAGATGCAGGGTCTCCAAAATAAGATAAACCTGGATTCAAATCCTTGCTCCATCGTTTTCTGACTGTGTGATTCTGGACAGTATTTTAAGTTTGTCCAAACCTTGGTTTTCTTATTTAACAATAATAAGCGCTATAATACCTGTACCCAGAGTCGTTACCTGCTACATGGACTACAAGCTGGTGGTTAGGCCTAAAGGGTACGTCGGAAGTCCAGGTATCAGAACAAGGACAAGATGGCCACCGGACTAACCGAAGTGTCTGGAATTGTGTAGATTTGGGCCTGGATTACTTGTGCCATTGCCTCTAGACTAGAATCTGGGACAGCGAGTGCTACTTTAGAAGGAAGAGGAGGTGGGCAGAGGCTGAAAACCTGGTAGGCTTCACTGGCAGGACTCCATTAGGTAGGATGATCAGAAGGTAGAAAGGGCCGCTCACTCCACCCCCTTCTGCCTCAGATTACAATGGAAGCACCTGCTCTGGGAACGGGGAGATGGTGGCAAAGAGTCTCACCAGCCGCGGTGGATACCAGGGAGAGGTGAGCATTGTTTATCTTCATTTCTCTGCTTCAAAAACTTGAGATGTCTTATAGTTTCTCTGATGCAATGGAATGATGACCTATGTTTTATAAGTTATGTAGCTATTTGCATGCATTATCAGGTTTCAGGCTCTTTTAGGCTTTAGAAAAATTTGTGGATACACATACACACACACACACACACACACACACACACATATATATATGTATAGAGATTTGGGGGTGCTGAGATATCTTTTAAGATTTATTTAATTTTATTTTTAATTTTTTCTTTTTTTAGGTTCTGGCCATAGGGTGTATGTGCTTGCCAGAGAGGAAGAGAGAGAGTGAGAAGGAAAGTGAGAAATCACCCCCTAAAGTGGATGGCCATGCCGCAAATCCCTTCTCTCCATTCACACACCTGTGCTTGGCATGATTTTCAAGTCCCTGGGTCCAGGACTGAAACCGCTCCAGCACCATAACCACTATACCACCTGCTGGCACCTATTATTATTTTTTAAATTTGTTATAGGGTATATGTGCTCATCAGAGAGAGACAGAGTGAAAGAGGAAAGTGAGAAAACAAGTCACCAGGTCTGGGACTCGAACTACAGTTGGCTCTGTGGGAGTCCAGTGCCTTAAGCATCATGCCATCAGCTGGCCCGAGATACATTTTTTAAAAATGAATTAATATACTTTGTACACAGTGAGAGAGAGAGGAGGTGGAGGGAGAGAGAGAGAGATCGAGGAAGAGAGAGATCTCTTCACACTGCGATTTGCTCCCTGCCTCGGCCAGCCAGGATCATGAGAATGAACACACTCAGTAAACACAGAGAAACCTAGCATGTGAACCTCGGACCCTCCCATGTGGCTGCAGTATCAAGGCTCGCGTCACGGCTGTGCCACCGCAGCTGGCCTTGAGATGTCTTCACCTGGGTTGAGGATCTTCCTTAGAGGGAGCTGGGGCTCAGATTTACCTAGTTTTCCTGCTCTAAAAAGGCCCCCGGCAGATCCATTCAGGCTGAGCTCTTCAGGCTCCTCATGCAGCTTCCTTGAAAGCACCTGGATAGTGGGGAAATGCATCTATGTGTCTCTCTCCCCGACCCATCTACTAATTCTTTGAGAGGGCGAGATTCTTGTGCTTCCATGTAGCCCCAGCCCCTCGAACAAGACTTGCTGAGTCGGTGCTTAGTAAATGGGAATGCAGTGAACAAATGCTCTGCTCTTCAGCAACGACGCCTTTCATTCTCTTCTTCGTCCTCCTTCTCTGTCTCCTCTTTTTGCCATGGGGTGCTCTTCTCTTGCAAGAGACAGACAGAGAATGGGAAAGTGAGAAAGCACCTCCCGTGTGGAATGGTCATGCTACAGTCCTTTCTCCTCCATTCCCCTCTTGGGATTTTGGGCACGCACGCACATGCGCCTGGCATGTTCCTCAAGCTGCAAAACCCACAATGTGAGCCATGGTCGGCCATGTGGGATCCAGCTGCCCCAACCACCATGCCACTGGCTGACCTGCTTTCTCTTTATTTAGCCCCTACAGATCACTGTTCTTTCACAAATAGCGTCGTCACTTGCATTTTACAGAAGGGGAGAAGCCTGCCTTTTAAACAAACATGGCAGAATTTGGTATATCTAAAATATATGGTTCCTCTAATGGCATCAGCTGGGTGCCCGGGGTGATTATCCCAGGGGTGGCTGTTGCTGCAGGTGTCGGTGCCAGGGACACATGTCCTCAGTGGTCAGAACTCGTCGTCCTTTTAGAGCAGGTTTCATTTTACAGTCAGTTCCACGATGTTTGCAGTGATTCCTGGTTAAAGGAGGTGAGTAACCCAACAGGGCCATGCCATTTCAGACTCAAGAGAACGTCTCAGTGACCCAAATAGAGGCAATCCCACGGAGAAATTCCAAACACGCATGAGCAAAGTGCCAAAGGAGGAAACATGTGGACTTCGGAGGGGAGAGCATTCCCGTAGGTGGTGTAAATTCAAACCAAGTGTATTGGTTTTAAAAGATCTCTTTAAGGCAGCACCTAGTCTTCCAGAGCCTGATTCAAATAACAAGTAAGACATTAGTTTAGTCCTGCAAAATGTTCTTTCTTTTTTCTGGAGAGGCCCCAGTGCAAGCTCGCAGGTTGGTTCCTTGCAGCTACTGATAACATCATGGGCACCTCCAGAGTCCTTTCCTGGCATTGTTCTGGGTGTCATTGATGTTAAGCAAATGGGAAAGGAAATGTAATTCAGAACTCACAAAGCTAAGGGGAACTGATTTTCGAGTTCATGACTTTCGAATCCATGGTACAAAAGCCAATGTGTTTTAACTAACTGCACTTGTGAGAATGGGGTTACTGCTCTTGGAGCTGTTCTTTCCTCTTAATGGAAAAGTGCTTTTTAATGAATGTTTTGAAATTTTTTTACTGCATGAAGAAGCGTGTTCCTGTGCAGTTTTGATTTCATGCCTTCCTACATTGTCGTGTGAAAAGCATGTGTAAATAAGACGCTAGAAAAACAAAACTCCCATTGACTCTGAGTCTATCTAATTCAGCCAGCAATCATTAAACAGGGGTATGTTTCAGGTAGTATAGTAGCAGCTAGGTATGGGAGGAAAAGCGTGACACCCTCCACCCTTAGTCATTTACATTCTGATAGCAGAATTGACAAGGATGCAAAGGATCAGCAGTTAGTGTGATGGCTATGTTGCTGAACTCCTATGTAGTCAACCGCAGTTCGAGTCCCAGACCTGGTGGCTTAAACTCACGCCAGGTGTGTGTGCATGTGTGCCCAAGATCCCGAGAGGAGAATGGAGAAGGGGTTGTGGTGTGGCCATCCCCGCTGGGGAGTGATTTCTCACTCTCTGTCTTTCTGGTGAGCACACGCGCCCTATAGCAAAAACCTCTCCAAAAAAAAAAAGACAAGGATGCAAATACGTGTTAGCACGAAGTGCTCAAAGGTAAAAGAGATAGGGAGGTAAGGAGGATGGGAAAAGACCGCATAGAACAAGTGACATTTTAGTTAAATCTTAAAGGATAGATATGGGCCAGCAGATGGCCTGGAGATTGAGGCTGCTGGATTCCACATGGCTGATGTGTGGTTCGAGTCCCAGAACAGCAACTTCAAAAAATCTTTAAGGACGGTGTGTGTGTGTGTGTGTGTATGTGTGTGTGTGTGTGTGCGCTAAAAACCAGGGGAGGAGAGTGTGAGAGAAGGGATTGGCCATCTGCCCAGAGTGGGGGGGATTTC